GTACAAAATGTCAAGGCAATCCCTCCAGTAGCGCAGTAGCGCAGAGATATTTCTGTCTGGACCACGGTGGTGGACCAACCGACATTGCCATTCCTAGAGCATGCCGCAGCATGACTTAAAGTTGGTGTAGACTATAGAAACTGCATTAGCCAGGTCAATTTTCATAGTTGGAATCAAACCCAGCTCCCCTTCGTCCCATGTTATTCACAATCACCCTGCCCCTTATTCCTCTCAGACAAAAACAGTTTCCCTCCCTGCATGTTTCTCTCTCGTGCTTTAATGTCCCTTAGTTGCCTGAAAGAATCTCAGGCACCTACAGGCTCAGATGTTGTCACTTGGTTAATAAAACCTCCTGGTGGGAGAAATTCAGAGAGGGGTGAGGTCATACAGATCCACTCCTCTCTTCACCATCCTCCCGCAGGCTGTGCAGTGTCCACACCTCTGATTGCCCTGGCCCCCTGTGTGTGTGATACTGTGTGAGAAATTTACAAAGATGTGTCTTGTGTGTTATTGTGGCAGAGAAAGGATTATGAGAAAATGGAAGAAGAAAAAAACCCAGAAATAGTCAGAAAAGGCATGTGTGTGTCCTGGTGTGTGTGTGTGTGTGCGTTCAGGGGTGTTTGGGTGGGGGGGTCTCCCTGCCTATCTGAACCGAAGAATGGGACCTGCTATCTGTTTCTCATTTTGCCAGCGCTCTGTGGTTTTGCAGCAGTGACAGACCTCAGAGTGGAAACTGGCACTAACGAGCAATTACATCCTGCCTGCCTGCCAGGGATTATGGGATTACAGACTGGCCAGGCTTCAGTCTGTGCTCTCTTTCTGCACTCTCATTTTGTCATTCCCTCGCTTCCCTGTGTTCACCTTATCTCCAATTTTAGACTTCTCCCATTCAGTGGTTCAATTATCGTTTTTTTCATTTTTCTTTTCCCTAGGACAATTACCCATTCTCTATTTTTAATTCTCCTCACTCTTATCATATGAATTTTTTTATTATCTCATTCTCTCTATTGCTCCAGCTCTGGCTTTTTCTCCTTTGACTTTGTGGCTGCCTCGCATAGTTAAGACATGTTGTCATTAACGGCTGAAGAGTGAAATTGTTTTAGTCGGAAAGAGGGAGAGAGCACTTTCAACAAAAGAAAAAGATGTTTAATGTGTATGAAGCTGGAAATGAAGCATGATGGAAATGAGAAACAGGAGGAGGAGGAGATGAGAGTAAAGAGAGAGTGCAGGAAAACAGGACTCCTTGACATCATATTAATGTCTAGAAAAGTTTCATTAAGTTTATTTATATACCCAAATCACAAAATTATTCAGGACTTATTTTTTTAAAGATGCATCACTCAGATCATCATCAAGCCAGAATGTGAGGACTTGGTGTCACACCCTGAAACTTCTTGTTCAACATATTTCTGAAAAGATATTAAAAAGCCAACAGAACGCAACAGGCAAGATTAAAGCAAGTTTTCACCCTGGTCTTGATGCATATATGCAGATCTGTGGGGCACATGTAAGTGCAGCCGATATCATCATGCTACTTCTTGTGGGACCTCCGCAGATTTCTCAGTGTCTGGTAGTGATCAGACGGCTCTCCTGGTGCTCTGCCTCTCCCTCCAGCATCTCCTCTTACACTGCAGGTGTCTTTTATTGAGCCAGCGGTGATTTACTGTACTCTTGTTTTTCTCTTCACTCCTGCAATGAGGCACCGCGGTAGTGACAGGTTAAAGCTGGAGGTCAGAACATTTCACGTACATGCACGCGCGTCTCTAATAGGAGGTCATTATTAGAGAAGTTTGGCTTTTAGAGGGAGGCGAAACACCGGAGAGTTCTGGGCTTTCTTTTTTTCCTACAAGGTGAGATATTTATGGAGGCTCTGTGGGCAAAGCTTAGGTCTGACACTGTAATAGTATACAGTAGGCACCAAGATCACTAATCAGAAACACATTTATTATGTTGTCCTGCTTCTTTTCTTAACAAAGACGTGTCTCTGTTGAAAATATCTGTGTTAAAGGGTAACTTGGGTATTTTTCAATCTAGGTTTTCCGATGTTTTTGTGTCTATGTGACTAACTGGGTCCAGTCTTCAGCGAACATTATTGGCGGCAGCGAAACAGGGTTTTTGCCACTGACAGGCTCAGATTGTTATTACAAGTGTCTGACAACATTATGGAAAGAATCCATTCAGGAGATTAAATACATTCCTTTATGTTTGTATGCTTTAGTGCTTACTGTTGCTCATTGAACTGATGTTACTTTAGTGTTGGCAACATCTGTTTTAAAGCTGACACCTGGTTCTTTTGCCTCATAAATATCCCCAAAACAAAATCCACATCCACCCTCTCCTTTATTTCTAATAGCAATTCAGAACAGCAGAAAGTGCTCTGGAAGTAGTAGCTGGCTCTTGCTATATGAGTTGTACTTGCTTCAGGAGGGCTTACCCAATGAACTAACTGAGAACAGCAACTAGAGCGCGGAGGAACCACAATGCAAATAGAAGGTGACAAGAACTCCGCTCTCCCTGCTGCAGACATCCAGCCTGATGGACAAACCAAAGGCTTTAATCAGCCGAACAAGGAAGAAACACATGCTCGGCTTTCTGAGCACACATAGAAACACACACATGCACACACTGTTGGATCTGTAACTGTACACACAGACACACACACACCATCAGTAGGCTTGTGTCAGTCTGGAGCTCCTCAAGGAACAGTGTCCTGCTCCTTCTCTTCTTCTCCTCCTCTCCAGCCCTCTACTCCCCCACGCACCTCATCCCCGAAAAGGCCGGAGGCGTTGGTTTGTAAACAGCTCCAGAGCGTCGGGGTGAAATGAACCAGCAGACAGGCCCGCGTCGACTCCCAGCTCGCTGATCTAAAAGAGGCTAAACACTCCCAGCTGTGGCATTAGGGACTCAGAATGGCACCTCTCCTGAGGATCTGCAGCCCTCTGTCCCACCTCACACTACTGTTAGGTTTTAAATCAGCTCGAGGGCTGACGAGACAGCACAGTTAGGTTTTAGGTTTCAGCGGCTGCATGTGCTCCATATGGCTGAATTATGCTCAGTTTGTCTCTCCTCATCCTCTTGTCCCCCCTTCAGTGTCTGTAACTTTGCTTTCCCTCAACTAGATCGTTGCAGCTGGAACAGGCAAGATTGCATAAATGCATCAACAGGTCTTATCGTGACCTGTGATCTGTAACCTTTTGTCAGTCTTCCATCTCACTGCGCAAGACAGAACTGAGGGATTATTTTTCACTGTTAAATAAACATGGTACTCTACATATCGGTGAGATCTACAAATACATGAATAGTACACGTTTGAATCTGTTACTGTGGGTGTACAGTGTTGTTGTAGCTCAGTGCAAAGGTTATACAAAGCATCTTAGAGATGACAGAAGTGGTTTCAAAGATCCTAGAAGTATCTGTGGGCAGAAATTTGTTTCAAAAAGTTGTTCATGTAAGATTTAAGCAGTGCTGAATTGATGAGTTCATTAGCAAGCACATAGGCTAACTTTAGTTATATAGAATTTTTCAAAACAAATTACAAATGACTTTACAGGAGAAATAAAAGTGAAACTGAATAAAAACAAACAACAACATATGACATAGTGTAATTGTTGTGAAAAGTAAAGTGGGATTTAGAATGTTTTTAAAAGCCTGTGCCGATTTGGTTTCTCTAAGGCTGCTCCAAAGCAACGCATTTTGCCCATTGCTTCTTCAGGCTTACATAGTGAAATTACAGAAACACTCACAGGTGTGCTAAATAGACACTGTGTAGGTCATGTGACCAGTAAATTCCATTATATCTAGAAAATCTTTCAAAAACAGATCAAAAAATATGTATAGTAAACATACATTACATCATTGTAGGAACTCTTAAACACCTCAGTGCAAGTAGCATGTAGGTCCTACCTCTGTCCATCTAACCCTAAAAGGGAAGGGGAAGCCCCCAGTATCTCAACTTTCCCTGAAGTTGAAACACACCTTAAATATTTGGGTTTTGCACTAATAGTTATTGGTGGCCCTGCGATGGACTTGCAACCTGTCTAGGGTGTAGTTATTGGGCTCTGGAAAATTGTCATAGTCACTTTTCATTGTTTTCTGACATTTTATAGACTTAACCTGTGGGGAAGGATTCCCACATGGGGTTGCAGAGAAGAGAGAGGAAAAAATAAATGTTTATCTGCTTCACAAAATTATGTATCTATTCAGACTTTTCTCTAACCTTTGCTTTTTTTCTTATAAAATCACTTGTCTCTACAGACCTAAAAACTATTAAAATACATCAAACACTCATTGGTTGAACTGGTCCACTATTGGATGGATTGCTTGAAATTTTGTACAGACATTCAAGGTTTTTGAAGTACGTGATGCTCGGACTTCCGGTGATTTTCCCTTTGGGGGCGCTACAAAAGAACCTGATGACCTCATGTTCGAGACGTGTGGCGCTCCGCAGCCAGCACAATCCGCCACACTGCACGTACTGTATATAAACATTCACGTCCATGAAACTTCATATCACCTGTCCTGTATCTCTGTGGTTTTTGTCTGAGACCTCCGCGAAATGATCTCGCCATGCCTGGTTCCCCCTGCTTGTACCTCTGCCACAGGAGTAACCCTGAAGAATGCCTTTGACAAGTGTATCGCAGATGCTGCCTTTTGTTGCCGGACTGGGCTGTTTGCATGGATGTATGAACCGGCAAGCCAACACTAGCCACGCTAGCTGGCAGCAAACACTGGTCTTTTACTGAAGCAGCAACAAACACGCCGTCCTCATGCATTGAGGACGTGATTTATGTGACATGTCGGCTTGCTCAGGGGCCCACAGGGCTGTTTTTGTTTTACTGTATCTGGACAATTGTGTGTGTATAGACATCATATTGCCCGCATGTTGTGCCTTTAGTTTATGTTACCCTTTTCAAGGGGAGTTCTGGGAGGAGGAAAGTTGACAGAGTGAAGCCTTGTTCTTGTTCTTACATTCTTCTCTCCCTTTCTTTCTCTTTCTCCAGGTGGGACCAGATGGAGGGTTCGGAGGAAGGATAGACAGGAGATTACTTATGTAATGTCAGCAAAGGCCAAGGTTTGTCAGAAACGGACCTCGTTGCCAAAAGAGCACCCTGAAAATCTTCTACTTTTACTTCCTCTTATCTTCTGTCACTTCTTCTACTCTCCATCTGTTCCTCCATCGCTGCCTTTTTTTTTACTCTTCGTTTTTGCTATTCACTTATGAAATCACCATCTCTGCAAATAACCTTAGGTTATCATTTTTCATTTCCACAGTACAGACCACTATAAACCAGAGGATGAGTTATGTGGAGGTATAAATTGTTAATGAAATCCATCCTGACAAGGCTCAGAACTGAGCTTTCCGTTAAACCATGTCAGCGCTGAAGCTTTCACTGCTAAATTCTAAGCCAGTGTACAAAGCTTGATCCAGAGCGGAAAGAAAGCAGAGTTATTTAACTTAAGTATTACTGAAGAGTAAGTGAGATCACTTTTGATGAAACAGCCTTAAGACAGAGTGCTGCTGTAGCTCATTTGAAGAGCTTTTGAAGAGCTGTGTGTCTTATGCGCTTTTAGAAGTAATATCAAATTTTCTTCTGTTTTTATATCAGTAAAGTAGTTTGTCAACTTAGTTTTTTTTATTAAGTGTATGGTCACCATGAGAGCAGCCACTTTCTCTGGTGACCGTCTTGTCAAGGGGACTCAAAGCCAGAACTTCTTTCTAGAAACAGCTGAGAACAGTGCATCATCCAAAAAAAATCTAGTATCTAAAGGAATATTTTTACATGTTGGTAAATACGCTTATTCACTTTCTTGCTGAGTTAGATGAGATATATTAATCTCTTGTCGCTAGGCTAAAAATTAAGCTAGAGTCAGCAGGTGCTTAGTTTAGCATAAAGACAGACAGGGGCTGACAGCTATCCTGACTTTGTCCAAAGGTCACCTCCATAGCTCACTAATTAACACATTATACTTGCTAAATATGGCACTCTAGCTTCATATAGTGTACAGACTGGAGATTGACAAAGTTAGCAGCTAGCTGGTGAACATAGTGGAGCATTTAGCAGCTAAACAGGTTTCCCTGAGGAGCTGGTAGAGACCAAAAGAGGTTGAATGTAGGATTTACATTTTACAAGTGAACAGAAACATGAAACATGTTAGACAAAATAAAATGCTACTGGCATGTAAATAGTCAATTGTTTCACCATGTCAACTTTATAAGGTGATAATATGTCAACATATTTACAACTTGTTGTCCTGCCCTTGAGTGGCAAAAAAAATCAATTAATGCAGGTGAAAGATTTATTAATTGTATAAAGTACTAAAAAGAGTACCACTTAATGAAAAAGCTACTCAGAAGTGAGAGTACTTAGTTACTTTCCATGTCCCTGTGGCTGTCACAGTTTGTCATGTGTGCAGGCAGGAACAGGTATTAGGACCCAAACGCAGGACAAGCAGGCGGGACAAATACAGTCTCTTAGGATTTATTAAACTCAGAGAGGAACTAAACTTACAGCAGAGTCCAAACCAAGGTTGTCCGCAGAGCAGCAAAAACACAGTCCATAAACAAATGATCCAGGGGAAGACAGAACAAAAGGATAATCCAACAAACGAGGTAGCAGAGGCAGGCAAGCAAGACACACTGCAGTGGATGAACACACAACGAACCAACAACAGCTGAACAGAAGTCACACACATTTAAGCACTGGCTAACGAGGAGGGCGGGAGCACAAACAGGTGATACTAATAAAGACAGCAGACAGGCAGGCAGAGAGACAGCAGGGGAAAACAGACAGATACTAACAAGTTTCAAAACATAAGGCAAGAATCTAACTGGAACTCACATACTAAATAACAGATACTGAACAGACCAATAAACAAAACTCACAGAGACCTAAACTAAACCAGGCCGATCAGACAGGCAGTGTGACAGTGGCAACTGTCTTTTTGGATGACAATCCTTTATTCACCAGCTAACATGTGACTTCTGCCTCCCGTAGGTGCTGCTGTGGGTGCTCTTCTCTCTGCTGCCTCTAGTGGAAGGAGCACATATGAAAGCTCGTACTGCTGGTGTGGGATCAGACTCGGGGCATGCTGTGGGCGTGCTGGGAGGTCAAGAGGAGCGAGAGCTTCCTGTGACGCTGCCAGAGGTGGTGGAGGACGAGGAGCAGGAAGGCGACAGTGACCCTTACTCTACTTGGCATGCTCTATATGGTACTTAAGGTCTTATGAAAGTGTAATTTGCAGCACATCTGCTTCACCAGACAGTATTAGAGTGGGAAGTGGGTGTGAGCCTGGGGATCTGCTTTGTGTCTCAGCCATCAAAATATATTTACATATGATTTAAAGGGCGACTAGTCATTTTAAGTTAAGTTAAAAGGTAGAAGTGAAATTTGAGATTTTGCAGGAGAATGTGCATGTTATTACTCAGAATTTCCTCAATACGTGGTCACATTCATTGTAACTCTCTCTGCCACTCCTCTTTGATCTCCATTTTAGACCCCTTTGTAATAGATGAAGTGGATGACCATGACAATAGTCGCTGGGCGGGGCGCTCTCCACGGTCCTCTGACCCTTCGGAACCTCAACCCAGCGGATCACCAAAGAAAAAGAAGAAGAGGAAGAAGAAAGAAAAGGAGGAAGCAACTGGAAAAGGAGATAGAAAGCGTAAAGGTAGAAACAGGCAGCTGAAGCAGAGCAGCACAGACTGCCGTGTGGACAAGAGAGAGATGAGGGTTCGTGACCTGGGCCTGGGGTTTGACTCGGATGAGATTGTCCTCTTCAAGTTTTGCGTGGGCTCCTGCCAGTCTTCAAGAACAAACTACGACCTGGCACTGAAGGCGCTGCTGGAGAAGGGCTCGGTGCCCCAGCGCAATGTCAGCAGACAGCCCTGCTGCAGGCCCGACCGTTACGAGCCAGTTTCCTTCATGGACGCCCAGACCACATGGAGGACCATCCAGTCGTTATCAGCTGCCAGCTGCATGTGTATGGGCTGAAGAAATGAACGAGGAAGAAGGTGACGAGGAGGGGTGTCACCCAGAGTCACAGAGAGAAGTCAAGGGGCCCAGGGTGGATGCTGTGTGAAGAAGGCCTGGGTACAGGGAGGCGCCACAGGGGGGCGCTGTAACACACACACACACACACACACACACATACACACAAGCTGCATAAGAAAGGATGGAGGCCACTTGTTGGCTTCCTGTGATGTATTTCCTGTTGAGGAGGAAGAGGTCTGGGCACAGCTGGATGACGGAGGTCAAAGGTCAAAATCAAAGACTGAGGGGGAAGTCTTCAGGGATTCACTGTGTGGATTTATTGTTACATCTTCCAAGAGTGAATTGTTTTCACCTGAATAACTGGTAACCGATGCAGTTATTACACATAAAAGAGACTGTATGTGGACATGACTGTTTTATATGGATGAGACCTGAAGGCTCAAGCTCAACAGATATAAAGAAAAGCCATAAATAAAGGACTTGGCACCGCGTTTATATTCAGATTCAGACTGAAACAAAGACTAATATGATGATCACTACTCACAGTGAAGACGGCTCTTCCCAAAAGCATCATCATTTTTTTCACATTAAAACAACATTTTACCACTTCTATGTTCAGGTGAACTCAACCAAATGGATGCCATGCATCTTCATGTATTACTATATAAGAGTAAAATATTTATTTCTGATAAATTATTTATTTATTATAGCTTGATATGAGAGCTGTTTTTATTAACTCTATATTGTAGATAAATATCTATTTATTGCCAAGATCATTTTGACAGTTACTTCTGCTCACATACAAGTACGTGGATTTTTTATTTTTTATTTTCAAGGTGCTGATTTTCACATTTATGCAAGGCCTAGTAAACCTGGGCTTTGATTCTGGGCAGAATTTGTTTGAATGCAATAAACATTTCTGAAATTAGTGCTTTTATAAAACAAAAACACTAACACAACAGCTCAGATTATGTGTTACATTTCATCCCAAAAAATCCTAATATAGATATCAGAAATGAATTGACCTACATTGAAATGATGTGGTAAACTTAATATATGTTCTTTCTCAAGAGATCCTGGCATAATTGAGTCTGACAGCTGATCTCTAGTTTTGTGTTTAATTCTGGGGAAAGTCAGTCTCAGTGTCCAGATTGTGGGTACAGAAACAGCAAGTCAAACGTTTATACTACAAGACCTCAACATTTCTCATGTGGTTGAGTATTTCCATTCAGTTACACACTTCCACTATGTCACATTATTAATATTATTATTTTATAAAGTTATCTTTATTTTTGTATGGCATTATCCTCCAAGGGAATAAAGTTTTTAATATACATAACTGTTTACTTCACTGATTTCACACCTTAAAAAGTTTTCTTAAAAGTGACTTCCATAATTCTTCGCTGTGAACAGGATCAAGGCCACAAGCTTTTTCCAGTTCAATTTAAATAGGACTTTTTGTGTTGTAGAGCCACCTGCTGGTCTAAAACAAACAAAAAAAAAATGGGTACCTTCTGTCCTCTGTTGGAACTAAACAAAGCAGGTTTCCCTGCCACATGTCTGTTCAACTGAGAATGTTTGCTTTAAAATCTTTTATTGTTCTTTAACCACCAGAACAGGTAGAGCCAGCGATGTAGTACAAAATTCTGCATGGGAATCTCACAGGCATTCTCAATGTGCCCCTCCCCGCATTCACAGCTATTCTTTCTAGGATCTTCTGTATACTCCCCTCCACCACCCCCACCACCCCCACCACCCTGTCCCCTGGGTAGAACACAGCAGTGTGATGTCTTTGGTGTCATTTTATTTCTCTGCACAGACCTACAGCTCACACAGTTGACTGTAACAATTTTCCTTTTTAAAAAGGTGATGTGTTCACATTGGCTGTTTACAACTGCAGTTATCAAAACATTATATGCAAATGTGCAATATAAAACAACACTTAACAAGGCTCAAAAAGTCTACATTCAGTTCTCCCTGCATCATCCAACACTGTTATGTGGCACTGAGTGAATTAGCTGCATGTAGATTTAAAGTATGAAATAAAATGTCACAGCAACACACACACGAATAAACATGTATTGCGATTGGCACATATGGATTCATACAGTGTATCAAACTCTGCAGCTTTTAGGCTATTTGTACCCATGGGGTATGATTATATTCTATTTAAATTCCCATGTTTGGAAATTGTCACCACAGATTTTATCTAATGTCCATTCTGTATACGTTTTATTATAGAGCAAATCATATTCCTCTACAATTGTAGCTATTGGTCAAATGAAAGTTGCTAGTGGTCACTGGAGCAAAACAATTGTTTTATATTTTTTGTACTAGCACCTATAGATTGTAGTGACCTGATAACTGTCACCACTAGTGACACCTGGCCCCTTCATCATCCACTGAATCCAAAGCACACACAAACATAAAGCTCTAGTATGTTGGGCCCTTGAATTTGCCTGGACCTGAATAGAGATATATTTTGGTTGATATGAAGAAGATGACTGGCGACCTGTCCAGGGTGTACCCCGCCTTTCGCCCAAAGTCAGCTGGGATTTGCTCCAGCCCCCGCGACCCTGTATGCAGGATAAGCGGTTGACGATGGATGGATGGATGGATGGATGAAGAAGATGTTGGAAATGTAAAACTAGATGTTTCATGCTTTAAAGTCAGCTGTTGTACTTGTTGGATCGTCGTGTAGAACACCTTAAAATAAAGCCTAGATTAAATTTAGACATCAGACATATCAGAGAGATATATGAGCCAATGCTGAGGTGATTTCAGTCACAATTGGTTGCTAAGTGCTGTTTCAAGAGCTTCATTCAAAGCTGATTTGGCTCGTTGGTGGTTCAAAACCCTCAAAAGCGATGAAGAAACTTATAGTGTGACGTTCATCACTGTTTTTTCAAAACAACAAAAGTACCAGTTTCCGGTGCGGATGAAGCAGCTGCCGAAACAAATGAAAACACATGGCCATCAAAGGTATTTCGCTGACTGACATGAACTCGGTGAGCTGAACGTGCAGGTGACAATGTCCACTCTTCTAACGTGCGCATGGAGTAGCGGCGTTGCGCTGCATCCTGGAGATGAATTGGCCGCCACCTCCTGTTTGGAGTCAGCTCTTTCTTCCTCTTCACACCCAAGGATCGCGGTCGACTCGACGCTGAACGGGTGAAAGTTCACCCGTGCGGTGTCGTACTCCCACGCTTGCCTCATTGCGAAGTCTGTAAAGGATTTATTCTTGATGGACACCCGGGGGTCCACAGCGTTCCTGTAGCTGGCTGTGCGCAATGACGCGTAACTGGTGTCATTGCTGTTCAACGACGCAGGGGAGTGTTGGCCTCCTGCCCAGCCAATGTTGTCACCACGACCATCTTTAACCCGGGTCACTGTCTTCTTCAGATTCTCGCAGCCCTTTAGCAGCAGGTTCTTCCGGCACAAAATGTACACCCAGGGGTCTAATATGGGGTTGAATGAGGCGAAGCGGATCGCCAACATGTCGCTCCTGTAGTCAGGCTTTCCCCCAGCAGAAATATAGGCAGGGTCGTATAGCTGGTTAACGAAGATTCGCACCTGTCACAAAGAAACACAGACAGAGCATGTCTTAGGATGCGTTTTTTCAAAACAAACAAAATTGATACCAATAATCAAATGTGTTTGGCACGCACCGTGCGCAAATATTATCATATAATATAAATAGTCTGTTATCCTTACCACTAAAGGGATGGAGCAGACCAGGAAAACGATGGTCATGAAGATCAGAAGCCAGAACATTTGGATCTCCGCCGCTGAGGTGACTGACGGCAGCCGGGGGAAGCGGCGACGTGATCCTCCCTGCTCACACAACTCCGTCCTGACTATTCCTGTCCTCTGGTTCATCCCCACCAGCGACCTACACACCGCCACATTACACAAAACTGTCACTGCGATCAGCACCAGCATCACGCCGCCATACAGGAAGGAGTAGCAAGCCCCGAGTGGATCCATCGCTCTCCAGTCTAGAAAGCACCAAGTCCCGGGAAAGTGCCTAACGTGCTGCCCGAAGCCCAAACTGGGCATAATGCACAGTACAATGTTGGCAAGGTAGATGACCAAGAGCGCAAAGCGCGGCATTGTCCGGTCTATGTGCTGAGAGTAGAAATAGGCATGGTTTATGGCCAAGTATCGTTCCACAGCCATGGCGCACAGGATGGACATCCCGGCTGAGCCGAAGAAGAGCATGGAGAAGGAGAAGAAGTGGCAGAGCAGCGCTCCTCCTGGCCAGCGGCTGGCCACATATGTAGCGATCACCACCGGGCTGGTGAAGCACGTTCCCAACAGATCCGTGATGGCCATCCCGCAGACCAGAGTGTAGAAAGTGGTTTCCTTCTGCTCCTTTTTGGAGATACACAGCACAACTATGGCGATGAGGTTCCCTAGAACTCCCACGGCGAACATCGTGGCTGAAATGACCAGAGACTTGGACTCCAGCCGGAGCGCAGGGAACGCACTGTGGTTTTGGCTGATAGAGAGAGGCGGCAGCGGCTCAGAAACATTCGTGTCCAGTTCTCCAAATGCAAGGGTGTCGTTGATCATTATTAAAACGAACAATGCACAATGGTTAAAGTGTAAGACCTTTCTATGGTGTTTAGAAAACTTGCCCAGGAAATATAGAGCGCTAATCAAAAAAAAAAAAATCTTAACTGCAAATTACATCATGAAATATCGTTTTGCCGATAGAGCAAAGTGAGTTTCATAAGTGATCATGTTCAGTTTCCAGTAGCGTGTTCGGCTCCCGATACGCACATGTGAAAGTGTGCCTGGTTGTTTTTTCCCTGTTCCGTTCTGCGCGTATTTAAGCGGTGCACTGATGTCAGGGGAGTGACGTGCAGGCTATGAGCGCAGCGACACAGGTTTCCCAGGATCGCATTTCTGCAGCCAAGAACCATTATTCAACACTTGCTAATCAGAGGTAAAATGGCAGTAGAGTCGCCTCACTAAATCCAGGAGCCAAGAGCCAACATCTGGTGTCACTTCGCACAAAAGACAAAATTCAAAGTTAAAGATGCGACTGTATTTTCTTCCCAAATGAGCTTGATCTTTTCTCACCATTTAACGTGCATAACAAAAACTAATGCAATATGCACATGATTGTGAGAATGCGCAGGATAACTACCTGTGGCTCCATAAGCTGAACAGGTTCATTCGAAAGACAAAACTAGTTTGGGTGACTGTATATGATCCCGAAATAAAAGGATAGAGGGGGAAATTGTGGAGGTCATGTCATAAATCTCCAACTTCAGCACCAAGGCCAGCGCCTTTAACACAATCAGCACCACGAACAGAAACAACGCTGCCGTTTGAAACCACACACTCAGCATTTGACCCATTATTGATATTGTACGCCTTATTAAGATGTAGTCGATGTCACAACCCATACCATTGTTTGGAAACCCGTAAAATTATCAGTTCCTATCTTCAAAATGTTTCCGATGCACCAACAAATGTTTTTTTCATCTGGTTTCTGGTTTATTGCTAATCCTGTTTGTATAATCTGATGTCAAAGCAGAACACAGCTTGATGAGAATAAGACACTGCAGTGAAAAGGTTTCCACTAGACAAACGTCATCAGTCACATAGGCCACTGAGCTCCACGTGCCTCTTTTGCAGAAGAGGGTTCATGGGGACAAACTGTCAATGTTACTGATTAAATATATTTACGGCTCTACAGTCCCTGTCTTTATCTGTAGGCTGGGTTTGACCTCCGGGTATTGTTACTTGAATGCGTGGTTTTTTAGACAGTTTCAGTGAGTCCACAGCTCAACACACCTGAAACACACTGTTTATGAAGAAGAATGCACTGTCAAGACTGATTGTTAGTTGCTTTGTTTTTATTTGTTTGTTTGTCAGACTATTTCAAATGAGTCAATCTCAGCAGCAAAGTAGATCACATCGTGCCCTTGAATATAAGGCTCCTTTTGAAATTCTCTTTTAAAGGCTCCTGGGTACGTTCCTTCTCTAATGAACAAAACACTGCTGACAGCACAAATAGACCGCGACTTCTAATGAGGACAGGTCTAATACAAAGAACAGCAAAGGTGTCAGTCAAGCGGGGCCACGCTTTCTTTACACTGTTTGAATTTTGAAAGTTTTTCCCCATTGGAACCATGATCCAGCAGGTTTATTGCTGCTACCTGGAGACGTGCATAATTTTCAAACGGGCGCAACAGTCATCTTATGTAAGTGGGAATGAGTCTAAAGTATTAAAAAGAAAGGTTGTGCTTAATCTTAACGTATCCTACATAAATCTCATGAGGGGAAAAATAAGCGCAGGACAAAATACCCAAGGAGCTGCGTGAA